TAACATTACCAAAGCTAAAAATGGTCCAATTAAACAGTTGCATGTTTACACTTGTAAACAAGAATGCTATTAACAGCGTTAATTAATAGAAACGTGAAGATGCTAATCCATGAATTAACAATATATTTGCATATAGTCTGAGATATAAATATGACAGAACACAGGAACATTTTGTGCATAGTTTATCGAATGAAATAAACATCGGTAGAGCAACAACAGACTCTTGGAACTATCTTTTAATGTAAATTCATGTTACTCTTACAGTTCTGATAATACTTTGTCCTGTCTGAAAGATTACATCACAACTTCCCACATCTAAATAATCAACACCACAAGAACAACTGAACCATCAAGCAGAGCCGTTCATCTTCTGGGTTCGACCACATTCTAGCCTATTTACTGGAGATGCATGAGTGTTTAAAATGCTGGCCATCACATACAACAAAGAAAAACAGATGCTGCAATGCCATAGAATATAGTATAAATGCATATAAAAACAGTAGGATTTCTAATAAGATTTACAGTAGATATAGATATGTTTTCTTCAGGATGAGTGGAAAATTCCTTATTTAAATGCTTCCATGCTGTAACACAATAACATGTGAAAATGGGACTTGGATTTTATTGGCACCTCATTTATATATATATGTATTATTTTATTATTATACATGTAATAAAATGTATTCATTTCACACCGCATATCACACACACACACACACAAATGCGCATGTGTGGTAGGTCTATGTAAAATGTGGACTGCAGACAAGCAAATATACATCAAAAATTATTCAGCAAAGCTTAGTCCAATGACTTGAATCATGGTCCGAGACATTTTCTCTGCTACCCAAGATCTGACAGACCCATAAAAGGATTGTTCACCCAAAACATAAAGCTCTGTCGTCGTTTACTCACCCTCGCATCCAAACCAGCATGTTAGGCAGAATGCTGCAAAAAGCATCCTATAAAACACAAATCATGTCACGTATTCCAAGTCTCCTGAAGCCATGCTGCATTTTTCAGTATTTTATGCTTCCTGAGCTGCGCTTATAATGTTACCAGAATTTATTTTACACCAAAACTGTGATAATTTTCGAGATAAAAGGCTATTTTCTACTTCGATTTTAAGCCTATGATTTGAACACTCGGCTGTGTCTCCTTTAAGACTTCACTGTAAACGCCCACTGCTATAACTGTTCCACAACTTTACATGTGAAACTCTTTTGAAAACTTTTACTGCGTTTTTAATATCACAGCTGCCATGGTTAACTCATTGGAAACATCTTTGTACCTCTGAACCCCAAAAGGTGCATTTTAGTACTCTTGTACCTTTTTTTCTGAGACTGTAGAGAGCAAAAACCCTCTCTACAGTCTCCCAGATATTTTAAGGAAATTAAGAAATCCCATGCAGGACAAGTCTGGAAAAAAGGCTTGATTCACTACCACAAAAACAGCAATTAACAAAAGAACATCTGACTGTAAATGAGTCCTTACATTAACATTAACACGCTTACATTTTGTGGCATTACTGTTGGGTCCATAGTCTTTCTGTAAAAGTCTGTTCGCAAAGTCTGAAAAAACTATGATCCTGTTTTATTATTTCACCTGCCTGTGGGCGGGCCCCCCAAAAAATCAAAGATGTAGAATTGAACAGTGCTGATGTTTTCATGTCTATTACGTCATAAAAACTCAGAGGTAGTTCTTTTGGCAGCTTGGTTTCAATAAAAGCTGTTTTGGACTAACAAGGAAAAATTTCAAACGAATTTTCCATAAAATCATAGTTTAATTAAAGAGCCCTTTAAGTTGTTATTCAGTGAGAATCTTCCCTTGCGATTCAAGTATCTTCAAAAAATAGCTCATGATGAAATATCTTACATGTTGGACAACAGGGTCAGAAATTAACTTTTCCGCTAAGGCTACGTTTACACGACAACGGTGTAGTCAAAATGGAAAAGTTTATCCCTTGCGTCATTGAAAAGTTTCACGTATACACGACAATGTTTTCAAAACGATTTGCATTTACACATATCCGCGTAATGGCCAAAAACGCTGTATTACGTATGCCAGGCCAGTAGTTGGCGCTGTCACCTTGTTAGTAAACAGTACCTGTCGGGAAGTAACGATTATATGACGATTATAATATTGGTGAAGTAAATCCACACTTTGCTGAAGAAGCGTTAGCAAACTCTTGAGCAGCAACAACAGTATCATGTACTCCGTCATTGTTGTGTATGTTTGTTCGCGCTTATCTTTAAAATCGTCACGTACTGCGCACATCTACATGCCTAACACGTCACTGTTTTCAAAGATTCCCGTTTGGGGTGTTTACACGGAAACGATAACGGTGGCGATTTCAAAAACTTGCACTTTGAAACCCGTTTTCCAAAATATGTGTTTTCAGTCCCCAAAACACCGTCGTCGTGTAAACGAACAGTCAAAATGCATAAAAAGTTTCCAGTTTTTGGTTGAAAACATTGTCGTGTAAACGTCCCCAAAGGGGCAATATTTGCCTTTGGGGATTTTTAGGGTCTTTTTTTTACCTTTGTAAAAAAAAACAAATCTAATTACCTTATTAAATGTATCTGTATTGTCTTAAATGTTTGAGAAAACTGCACGTCATAATCTGGCTACACAGACAAAACAAGCTTAACATCCGTTTATAAATTAGTTTATTGCCGTTTACGCATTCGAAAATCAAGACTCTTTGTATTGCATCTGCACAGTGTTGTTTGTGATCCGAGTATTTGACAAGAGAGCACACTTCAGTCAGTGAATGTGGTAACACTTTACAATAAGGTTCATTAGTTAACTACATTAGTTATCATGAACTAATAATGAACTGCACTTATACAGCGTTTAGGCAGAATGCTGCAAAAAGCATCCTATAAAACACAAATCATGTCACGTATTCCAAGTCTCCTGAAGCCATGCTGCATTTTTCAGTATTTTATGCTTCCTGAGCTGCGCTTATAATGTTAACAGAATTTATTTTACACCAAAACTGTGATAATTTCGAGATAAAGGGCTATTTTCTACTTCGATTTTAAGCCTATGATTTGAACACTCGGCTGTGTCTCCTTTAAGACTTCACTGTAAACGCCCACTGCTATAACTGTTCCACAACTTTACATGTGAAACTCTTTTGAAAACTTTTACTGCGTTTTTAATATCACAGCTGCCATGGTTAACTCATTGGAAACATCTTTGTACCTTTGAACCCCAAAAGGTGCATTTTAGTACTCTTGTACCTTTTTTTCTGAGACTGTAGAGAGCAAAAACCCTCTCTACAGTCTCCCAGATATTTTAAGGAAATTAAGAAATCCCATGCAGGACAAGTCTGGAAAAAAGGCTTGATTCACTACCACAAAAACAGCAATTAACAAAAGAACATCTGACTGTAAATGAGTCCTTACATTAACATTAACACGCTTACATTTTGTGGCATTACTGTTGGGTCCATAGTCTTTCTGTAAAAGTCTGTTCGCAAAGTCTGAAAAAACTATGATCCTGTTTTATTATTTCACCTGCCTGTGGGCGGGCCCCCCAAAAAATCAAAGATGTAGAATTGAACAGTGCTGATGTTTTCATGTCTATTACGTCATAAAAACTCAGAGGTAGTTCTTTTGGCAGCTTGGTTTCAATAAAAGCTGTTTTGGACTAACAAGGAAAAATTTCAAACGAATTTTCCATAAAATCATAGTTTAATTAAAGAGCCCTTTAAGTTGTTATTCAGTGAGAATCTTCCCTTGCGATTCAAGTATCTTCAAAAAATAGCTCATGATGAAATATCTTACATGTTGGACAACAGGGTCAGAAATTAACTTTTCCGCTAAGGCTACGTTTACACGACAACGGTGTAGTCAAAATGGAAAAGTTTATCCCTTGCGTCATTGAAAAGTTTCACGTATACACGACAATGTTTTCAAAACGATTTGCATTTACACATATCCGCGTAATGGCCAAAAACGCTGTATTACGTATGCCAGGCCAGTAGTTGGCGCTGTCACCTTGTTAGTAAACAGTACCTGTCGGGAAGTAACGATTATATGACGATTATAATATTGGTGAAGTAAATCCACACTTTGCTGAAGAAGCGTTAGCAAACTCTTGAGCAGCAACAACAGTATCATGTACTCCGTCATTGTTGTGTATGTTTGTTCGCGCTTATCTTTAAAATCGTCACGTACTGCGCACATCTACATGCCTAACACGTCACTGTTTTCAAAGATTCCCGTTTGGGGTGTTTACACGGAAACGATAACGGTGGCGATTTCAAAAACTTGCACTTTGAAACCCGTTTTCCAAAATATGTGTTTTCAGTCCCCAAAACACCGTCGTCGTGTAAACGAACAGTCAAAATGCATAAAAAGTTTCCAGTTTTTGGTTGAAAACATTGTCGTGTAAACGTCCCCAAAGGGGCAATATTTGCCTTTGGGGATTTTTAGGGTCTTTTTTTTACCTTTGTAAAAAAAAACAAATCTAATTACCTTATTAAATGTATCTGTATTGTCTTAAATGTTTGAGAAAACTGCACGTCATAATCTGGCTACACAGACAAAACAAGCTTAACATCCGTTTATAAATTAGTTTATTGCCGTTTACGCATTCGAAAATCAAGACTCTTTGTATTGCATCTGCACAGTGTTGTTTGTGATCCGAGTATTTGACAAGAGAGCACACTTCAGTCAGTGAATGTGGTAACACTTTACAATAAGGTTCATTAGTTAACTACATTAGTTATCATGAACTAATAATGAACTGCACTTATACAGCGTTTATCAATCTTTGTTAATGTTAATTTCAGCATTTACTAACACATTATTAAAATCTTGTTAACATTAGTTAATGCACTGTGAACTAACATGAACTAACAATGAACATCTGTATTTTTATTAACTAACGTTAGTGAAGATTAGTAATACAGTAACAAATGTATTGCTCATGGTTAGTTCATGTTAGTTTATACATTAACTAATGTTTAACTAATGAACCTTATTGTAAAGTGTTACCGTGAATGTGAACACTGAACAAAATCTAATCTAAGCCAATCTGAACACCTCTGATTGGTGATTGCATTCATAAGCTCAACAGAAATGTGTGATTGGTTATGATGCTCAATTCTGCAAAAAAACACAGAAGAAATCTGATGCAATATGAGAGCTAAACGTAATGCCAAAATCAACACTTTTCATTCATTTTCACATTACAGCCATAATATAGTTTCACGAGTTCGTGGGCCCATATAATCTTAGCATTAGCGGTAAACAGATTTGGCTTGATGTCTGCAATGGAGGGCTCAGAGAGACTATTCTACTCGAGCTCCGATAGCCCCCCTATAGACAGAAAGATAAATAAATAAATATGCATAAAAGGTGGAGATGGGGAGGAGGAGGGATGCCGAAAGAACTAACAATGGAGGCAGTATTTATACTCGAATATAAATTGGAAGATTAGATGGGCGTACTTCACTAGTTTCATTGTGCAGGGGCGGTTTTTGCCCCCTTATTTTGAATTTGGGGGCATTTTTGTTCCTTTTGGTTGTATTTTGCCCCAAGCTCCCATTAATTTCCAACCCTGTTGGCCAATACCAAAAGCTTTTGTGTTGAAAGAGCAAAACTGATCATTGTGCCTAACACGCAGGTTTGAAATGACAAATGTGTGCATAAATCATGACAACATTTTCATTTTTGGCTGAACTTTTCCTTCAACAAATGGATGTTCTTGAAGCGTCCACCGGCTGAGCTTTCTTGGGACTTCGAGAATGCTTTCTGTTGTTTCTTTGAGAGATGCTCTTCCAGGTGGTCATGGGAACACTGGGAACCTCCCTCTTTTTTGATACGAGCTCTGCCTGAACCACTCCCCGGATCTGCTCCTTGTCTTCATCGGAGGAAGCGTCGCTCTTAGAGCTCATCTCCACCGCAGGCTCCGTGAACACTATCAGCTGATTTCTGCGATGAGGAACTTCGCCCGCAGGACTCCCATCGGCCCCTTTCTCCTTCGTCAGCACGGTGACCGTCATCTGGGCCACGCTGTGGTTCAGAGATGCGCTGCGGAGCAGCATATTGGAGCGTGGCTGCACCATCTGGATGCCGCCGATGGGAATGGTGAGGCTGAGGCTGGGAATCATCACCTGGGGCTGCGAGTGCAGGGGCAGGTGACTTAACACTCGCTGGCCTTCCCTGGGCTGCATGTTCCTGGAGAGACACCCCTGTGCCGGAGGCCAAGACTGTGTCATGCTGGTTCTTCGCTGAGGACTGTGTGTCTTCTCCTAGGGAGGAGCCAGAAAGACATTTTTAGTGATATCACCATGTAGAGTGAGCACTAATGCGGTCATCTTTATTCTAGGTGAAGGACGTTATTTCTAAACTGTGCGGTAAGTCTTGTTTTGCGGCTATAGCTAAAGATAGTCCTGGTTCATCCCAAATGTGTATTTCAGACAGTAGATGGTAAACAGACGTGTGTGTATTTAAGTTCAGCCATCAGTTCATGGGTTAGGGTCTTAGGTTTTGGCTTCAATTGTTTGTAGAGACCGGCGGCCTGGCTTCTATTTCTAATAAAGGTGTGACACTAAAATAACACACGGTGTGCTTTTGGAATCGGGATATTTGTTTTGGATGTTTATCTTGGATATATGTGTATGTCTTGTTTTCATACTAATTACATTTTGTGTGCTAATAAAAACCATCTTTCTATAAGAGGACTTCAGCTCAGACAAAGAAAGAAGCATCTACATATTTAGCTATCAAGACTAGAAAAGCACAGTTTACTCACTATTGAAATATGGGTGAATGTTTGTTAAAAGAGGTGGTAAGGGGTTACATGGTTCAGTCTAAGAAACTATATACAGTATATACATAAATGCTGAATTTATCTGTTCTGTTCATCCCCATAATTCTGTGGTGTGTTTTTTTTTAAATGATGATCTGATCTTTCTGACATCAAAACATTCGGATCCCAAAACACGGTTGTTACTGTTAACTAAAACTATAACATTATTTTAAAAAGTAATTTTAGTTAATTGACATAAAGCTGAATGAAATACAATATAAATGTCTGATGAAAACACTTAAATTTACCAAAAAAACAAACAAAAAACATTTATTTAAGAATATTGCCTTCGCAGCAGTTAATGGTAAATTACTGAGATTACTAAAACTTAAATAAAAATTAATTAAAGTTTGTTATATACACACACAATTACTAAAACTTACTTTGAAAATATAAAAATACTAATACTAATTCTAAATAAATAATAATTAATAAATATTATAATAAATAATACAAAATAATACTCACTAAAAAAAATAACAATTTGAATCATCTAAAAATACTTGTTTTGTTACAAAAATTTGTTACAGTTATGTATTAGTTGTACTCATATTTATAGTTTGGTTCAGATTTTTTTTTATAGTTTTTGTCTTTTAATTTTGATTTAATCTTTTCCCAAAGACAAAAACATTAATGCAAAGTAAAAATATGATTTATTATTAAGACAATATATCAATATACTTTCTTTAAGCCAAAATGTTACTTAATAAGCCAATATAATATAGTTTTAAGAATAATTTTATAATAACTATAAATAAGAAAATTTCAAAACCTTAATGTATATTGTGATGTCTTTTTAAAATATGCAATACATTTGCTGCTATTTATTAAAATAATAATAATAATAACAACAACAATAATAATCCAACTCACAAGCTTTATTGCAGTCAGTAATTCTATGTGTTTTGCACATCAGCGCTCTGGTGTCCAGCAAAAATACTATTTAAACAAAACTGTTTGTTTAGTTTTTTTTTGTTCTTTCTATGGGGAGCATTATTTGCTTTTAGACAAACGGAACGAATCAGGTTTAAACTGGAAACCACAATTTCAGATCAGACCAATATAAAAATGCACTGGTCTTTCAGCAGTATTTCATTACAGTTACTTCGCACAGAAACCATAAATAAGCCCCCCCCCCCAAAAAAGAGTGAAAAATCCTATGCCAATCAGTAAGACAAAGCTACATTAAGACACTCACCAGTTTGGTCTTGAGGTGTAGTCTGCTGGGTGAGGCTTTTGTTGAATCTCTGGGTTTATCGGCTTGGTACTGAATAGTCACACTGGCCCCGACGGTCAGTGCAAGAGGACAACTGGGAGATGCAGGTTGTATGGGGGACAGGGCTCTAAT